CACATATGCTGAGTCACTATGTTGTATACCTGAAAGTAATATAATATTGTATGTTGAGAATACTTAAATTTTTTAAATAAATAAATGTAATAATAAGGCTATCAATCACTCATTCAGATGATGCTGCAGAATGATAACCACCTAAAAAAAGAAACAAAGACAAAAGCTGACCTTTGACAATATCAATAAAATTGATAAAACTTTTAGCCAAAATGAATAGGAGAAAAAAAGAGAGAAGACAAAAAGCACCAATGTCAAGAACGAGAAAGGAAATGTCACCACAAATTCTATAACTATAAAAAGGTGAATGAGGGAGTAAGGTAAACAACTTGACACCAATCAATTCAACAACTTGAATGAAATGAGCAAATTCCTTAAAAGATGTAACCTACCAAAATTCAAACAAAATGAAACGATAAACCAAATAACTATTTCAATTAAACAAAGTGAACTTATACTTTTAAAATCTTCACAAAAAAGGAAATGGACCCAAGTGGCTTAACAAGTGAATTCTCCCAATATTTCAGAAATATCACCTGTAGAATACAAATTGTTCTAGAAAATTAAAGAGGATGTAATAATTTAGAGGAGAGCATTACCTTTATATGAAAGTGAGACAAGATATTACAATAAACATACAAAAGACATAGATAAAAATTATAAACAAAAACTTAGCCAATCATATCCAACAATATAAAAAATGATATTACAACATATCCGAGAGGAACTATCCATCCTGGAATGTTGTAATATATGAAACATGTGAAAATCAATCAAAATAATTCATCATATTAAACCAAAAAGAAGGGGGAAAATGTCATCTCAATAGATACAGAGATAGCATTTGAGAAAACCTAACATTGATTCTAAAGTATGAATAGAAAGGAATTTCTTCAACCTGATTTTTAAAAATTTTTGAAAAACTACTGCTAACATCTACTTAATGATGGCAGACTTTCCCCAGGTTCAGGAGCAAGGAAATCATGTTTGTTCTTTCTGCTGCTATTCAACATAGCTAGGGCAATTAACAAGCAAAAGAAAAAAAAAGGAGACACCCAGGATGAAAAGGGAAAGTACAACTCTCTTTTCATAGACAACATGATCCTTTAGGAGTTCTCTCTGAAAAGTCATTTACTTATAAGATGATGTAATGGCAAATTTTTCCAACATTTACAAGCATTTATGTCAGAACCTTAGCTCAGAGACAAGCTATGTGGGTTCACAAAATCATCTGATGGCTAAACCATCTGTTTAACTAATAAAGAATATTCAAAACTTAACCTACAATAAAAAGTAAAACCTGTGTGTTCTGCATTCAAGAACTTATTCTAAGACTCAACATTGCCATCAAGAAACAATATAAATGCTAAGGATCCTGAAACACCAATACAAAATAATATATGCACCTCTATATTCATAGCAGCACTAGGTATAATAACCAAGATCTGGAAACAGCCTAAGTGCCCATTACTAGGTAAGTATATAAAAAAAGCTGTGATATACATTTACACAATGGAATACTATGCGGCAGTAAAAAAGATGGGGTGCTTACCTTTTGTAACAGCATAAGTAGACCTGGAGAATATTATACTAAGTGAAATAAGCCAGTCAGTGAAACACAAATATCAGATGAACTCACTTATATGTGAAGTCAAATGAATACAATAAACTAATGAAAAAAATAGAAACAGAAGCATAGATACATAGAACAGACTGACAGTGTCCAAAGGGGAGAGAGGAACTGGATAAAAGATGGTGATAGGATTAACCAAAGCACACGTATGCATGACCCATGGACACGCACAACAATATGGGACTGACTGAGGGAGGGAAGTACATAGGGCTGGGTGAACATGGGAAGTAGGAGAGAAAGCACTGACAATTTTAGTAGCATAAACAATTTTTTAAAAAGAGATAATATAAATTATTAACTTCAATCAATAAACTACAATTATTATGGTTGTTATCCATGCACATGTTATGAATAAAATCAATAGACTAATGTCTAGAAAATAGTCAATAAACAGTCAAATAGTCAATATAGATAGACAAAAAATAGACTAATGTCCAAATTAGTCCAAATCATTTTAATATAAACATCTGTTCACTCAACACAACACAGAGTAAAACTGGTTTGATACTTAAGTCATATTATAAAAAATTAAAATGATGCTACATTTTCCAAATGAGTTTTTATTTTACATTAGACTGAACAGAAACTAATGCCCCACTGGATATAAATTCTAACATCCAAAAGTTAAAGTATTTTGTGTAATCCATTCAGCAGAACTCAGAAGTTTGGAATTTCAACATTAACAGAGCCTTGCTGCTGATGTACTGATACTGCTGAACTTCAAGTTGTAGTAACTGAGCCCATGACTCAACCCACTCTTGATCAAATCCAGAATTGAACCCATACTCTAAGAATTATCTCGGGGCCTTGTCTCTCACAAAGCCTTGTCCTCTCCAACCACATGCTATATGTTAGACTGGGGTTTTAAATAGCTTCTCCAAAACCTCCTAAGGATTTAAAAAATCTGTGGATGCCAGAGCCAAGGCTTGGGCATTCATTGCCAGCACCCCCCAGTGAGTAGGACCCACTCCAGAAGTGCCCTCGTCTGGCCTGTCCAAATGAACTAAGGTTCTGACATAAAGCCTATAAATACTGGAATGTTTACTGCCACAATATCTTTATAATGACTAAATAACTTCACAAAAGAAACCTTATTTCCATGTTAAATATAGAAGCAGTTTGAAAACAGAAACAAAGTCTCAGAAATATAAAATTCTACACTTTTTCATATAAACATGAAATTTACATATACCTCAAGCATAAAACATAATTACATAGCACCTTTTGAATATACATTTTATAAATTATAAATTGATTTAACAGAAGTAATCAAATTCTTGAAAATAGGAAAATACTAATATCTTTAGAAAGAGTAATGTAAATAAGTTCACATATTTTAACATAGGAAATTAAATCAAACAGTACACCACTTAATGCCAATGAAAACTATAGTCTTGAGATTTTCTGGTTGCCTTCCTCCTATTACTACAACACTAAATAGTGTTTTATCTAGGTCAAAAGAAATAAAGAACTATTATCTGTGAATAATTTTTGATAATATAAGCATTAGGTATAAGAACTATTTAAAAGTTTATTATAATATCAAAATTTGATTTCAATTTTTAAACAAAAATAAAACATCATTAAAAGTAGGTATTGAGACTTGGGAATGATTTTGTATTGCTTTTCCTAATTTTTCTCCAACAGATACACACCTAGTGTAAAATACTTAGATAGCTAGTTTATAAAACAGCTGACTTACATCATCCCTCACTCTGGGTGAATTTAAATATGATTATCTATAATAAGGGCACTAATTTGAGAATGCTATCCAGGCATTAAGTAATGAACTTTGTAAAATCAACTACTCTGACAGATTCAGTAGTAATTAACTATTTTTGACATATTGAGAAATAGTGTTATGTACAAAACTATTTCTGTACTATTCTTGATGGTTCAGCAAAGCATCTCTTGTATAAAAGCTAAATTTTTAAAGAGGTTAAGATTTGAGGCTCCCAAGTAAGAATATCAACTTCCAGGAATGGGTAAGCTATGAAATACTGTTTTAATCACAATAACTTAAAGATAGAAAGTGCTTGGCAAATACTATCGATTATCTAAAGAACTTTTAAAAATAATAAAGTAATAGTAATTAGGTTTGAATATGAAGTTTAAAAGTCCATAAAATAATCACACAATGTTAGGACTTAACCCAAGACTACCTGACTCCAAAGTCTATGTCATTTTTAATTCACTTAATAACAGGTAATTAAATCACCAAAGCACTTTAAAAGATATGTTTACATTAGTAAAGGGATTATAATCTCAAAATAATGGTTGAGGTACATGAAAAATAAGAACACTGTGAACACAGATTCACATCCTTAAAATTAATAACAACACTGTGATAAGAAACATGATTTCAATGTGGGAGGAATGAGGGAAACATAAAGTAGATACTGAAGAAAAGATGGGTATGGGAGGAAGGGTGAGGGAGAAAAGGAGGGAAAAAGAGGGACAGAGAGAAGAAAGAAGGGAAAGAAGCACAGAGAAACAAAGAGAGTGGGTAGCTATCAATAGAAACAGAGGAGGAACTAAGCAAAGGAGGGAGGGAGAACCACATCCAAATCAGTACCTCTCCTAGCCTACTGAAAATAACAAAAACTGTTTTCATTGTGCAAGATATAGCCCAATGTAGGAAATGTTTATTTCACTTATCAACAACAACAAAAAGATAATACACAAGAAAAAGACAAAGAAAAAATACATTAATAAAAGAGGAAGGTAAATTTAAGAAGCAAAAGAAAATAGTTTCTAAGAAAGCTTACATTTTACCCAGAAATTTTAAAAACTCCAATGTTTATAATTAAAAAAATCAAAATGTGAAAACTGCTTAACTACCTTTCAAGACTATAACCATAAATCTTTTTAAAACATTGGTTTCTCTTCCCATTTACTTCCAAACTGTTGAATGAAACATTTAGGACACTGCAGACACATAAAATTAAACTATAAAGGCAAAATAATGTCATAAAATGATCTTGTGATTTTAATGGCTTTTAAGTACCATAAGTAAAAATGGAATTAAAAAGGATTTAAACAAATACCACCTTATTCTTCTTATTTAGCACTCACTAATTAACTAAATTTTATGCTATTGATAAATTTAAATACTCTTTGCATTCTATTATTATACAAGTGCTATATAATTCCATTTAGTATGCACTATTCACAAATATTGTGCATTATCTTTTTAAAAAAGGAAGAATTATTACATAATTTCATAATCAGCCTATTTTGATTTATTTTGGTCATTTTTTAATATGCATTTGTCTAAGTGGAATCATTCCACTATTTATAAAGATAACTTCCGAATGATAAAAATAAAAATCAGTAAAATAAACATTTTTTCATAATTTTGCCATACCTTTAGCTAAAGCTTCTTTATATTTCTCTTTGGCAGAATTCATTTCTTTTATTAATTGTCTATAGCTGGACTTTAATTTCTCTAATTCTGTCTTTGTAACCTGTCAAAAAAACAAATGCAAAAAAAAAAGTTAAAGTTAAATTCACATAATCAAGAACTTAAATTCCAAAGCATTAATTAATGTGTATTTTCCTGCTTATGGGTCAGAGTTACTCTTTAATCTACAATTACAGACAATAAATTAAAAATTACTTTGATATCAGTGGTAAATTCAAAAGCATATAAAAAATCCTCAAAAACAAGAGCAAATCGATAAACAGTGCATAGTCGAGCCTTAGCCAGCGTGGCTCAGTTGGTTGGGCCTCATTCCATAACCCAAAGGTCAAGGGTTCAATTCCTATGGGTTGCGGGTTCAGTCACAGTCGGGGTATGTATGGAAAGGCAAACTGATCAGTGTTGCTTTCTCACACTGACTGGTGCTCTCACATCACAATGTTTCTCTCTTTCTCCTTCCCTTCTTCCCCTTTCTCACCCTCTCTTCAGAGAATGGGAAGGGATTAGCCAAAGAACATGTATGAATGACCCATGGACATAGACAAAGGTATGAGGATTGACTGTGGGAGTGTCGGGGTGGGGTGGGGTGGTCTGAGCAGAAGAGGTCAAGGGGAAAAGTTGGGACAACTATAATAGAATAAATAAGAAAAATAAAATTAATTTTGTGTTTTACAGTTAGATCTGTGATCTACTTTGAGTTAATTTTCACAAAGGGTATAAGGTCTGTGTCTAGATTTATTCTGCACATGTAGAGATATCCAATTATTCCAGCATCATCTGTTTGAAATAATACCTTTTTCTGCTGTATTGACTTTGCCCTTTTGTCAAAAATATGTTGACTGTACTTATGCGGCTATATTTCTGGGCTCTCTATTCTGTTTCATTGATCTATTTGTCTATTTTTCTACCCTTGTGCAAAATCCAAACTATTAATATCTTCACTTATAATAAACCTTGAAGTCGAGTAATATCAGGTCCTCTGACTTTTCTTCAATATTCTATTGGCTATTCTGGGTATTTTGTTTGTCCATACAAACTTTAGAATCAGTTTTTCAATATCCGTAAAATAACTTCCTGGGATTTTCATTGCAGTTATATTGAATGTATTGGGCAAGCTGGAAATAGCTGACATCTTCACAGTATTTAGACTGCCCACACATTAACATAAATTATCTCTTAAATTATTTTTTCTTTGATTCTCTCATCAGAGTTCTGTCATTTTGGTCCTACAAGTCCTGTACATACTTTGTTGGATTTATACTTATTTATACCTAAGCATTTTATTCTGGGGGATGCTAATGTATATAATATTATGTTATTAATTGCATATCATCTTATTCATTGATTGCTGGTCTTTAGAAAAGCAATTAACTTTTGTACATTAACATTGTATCCTGAGACCTTGCTATAAGCACTTATATCCAAGGGTTTCCTTGTTCTCTCAGATTTCCCACTCGAACAACCATGTCAGCTGCGAACAAAGATAACTTTGCTTTATTTATTTGTTCCCATTCTGTATACCATTTATTTCCCTTTTTTAAAGATTTTATTTATTTTTAAAGAGAGGAAGAGAAAAAGAGAGGGAGAGAAACATCAGTGTGTGGTTGCCTCTCATGTTCCCCTTACTGGGGACCCAGCCTACAACCCAGGCATATGCCCTGACTGGGAATCTAACTGGTGACCCTTTGGTTGGCAGGCTGACAATCAATTGAGCAACACCAGCCAAGGCCCATTTATTTCTTTTTCTTGTCTTACTGCATTAACTATGACATCCACTATGATGTTAATAAGCACTGGTAAGAAGGAACATACTTGCTTTGCTCCTGGCTTAATGAGAAAGCTTCAAATTTCTCAAAATTAAGTATGCTGTAGGTTTTTGTAGATACTCTTTATTAAGTTCATTGAAAGTTTTTCTCATGAATGGGTGCTGGATTTAGTCAAATCCTTTTCCTGCATTTAGTCACATAATCATCTTATTTTTTTTAATTTATCTATTTATATGATAGTTTCCATTTTGTTGGTTTTCAAATTTTAAACCAACCACATGCCTAAAATACACCCCAATTGATCATGGCATATAATTCTCATGATACATTGTTGAATTTGATTTCCTAACAGCTAAAGATTTTGACGTCAATTTTCATGAGAGGTATGAATCTATAGTTTCCTTTTCTTCTACTATATTGTCTGGATTGGGAATTAGAACAATGCTGACCTAATAGAATGAATTAGACAGTTTCCCTCTTTGTATCTTCTGAAAGAGTTTATAGAAAATTGGTGTAATTTCTTGTTTAAAAGTTTGACAGAATATATCAGTGAACTTATCTAAGCCTAGTAATTTCTGTTTGGGAAGGTTAGTAATTAATTCAATTATTTAATAGATGTTTGCCTAATCAGATTGTCTATTTCTTCTCATGTGAGTTTTAGCAGATTGTGTTCTTCAAAAAATTGGCCAATTTCTCAACATTATCAAATTTGTAGACACAGAGTTGTTCTTAGTATTCCTTCATTACCCTTTAATATACATGAGATATGTAGTGATGTACCCTCTTTCAATCCTGATATTAGTAACCTGTGCTGTACACTGTGTTTTTGTTAGTTAGAGAGCTAGAGGCTTACTGGTTTTATTAATCTTTTCAAATAATCAGGTTTTGGTTTTGTTGAGTTTTCCCTTTTGATTTCCTGTTTTCACTTTCATGGATTTCTGCTCTAATTTTTATTATTTCTTTTCTTCTGCTTCCTCTGGCTTCAATTTGCTCTTCTTTTTCTAGTATCCTAAGGTGAAAGATTAGAAGATTGATTTTATTGAGTTGGCCAAAATGTCCATGTTTTTTTTTCTGTAAAATAAAAAACATATTTTTCACTTTCACCAATACCTTTATTAATTTGGATATTTTAAGTATGTTGGCAATCTCCAGGGTGGTACACGTTGATTATTCTCAATTAATGTCTCAATTTGATCACTATCAACTTCAACTGACCTACCCAACCCTGGAGCATCATACAGCAAGAATCTCCAACTTGAAACTTTGCAGACCACCTTTCTTTCACTGATTTCTAGTTAAATTTCATTGTGGTCACAAAGCCAGCATTGTTTGATTTCTTTAAATTTAAAGGTATTATTTATGGTCTAGAAAGTGGACTATCTTGTTGAATCCTCTGTGTGAGTTTGAGAAGAATGTGTCTTCTGCTGTTCTTGCATGAAGTAATCCATAGATGTTCATTATATCTAGTATATCTGCTTGATTGATGGCATTATATCTTTACTGATTCTCTGGCTGCTGGATTATTTCTCACAGAGGAGTGTTAAAGTCTCCAACTGCAACAGACAATTCATCTATTTCTCTTTGCAATTCAATTAGTGTGCACAGTTCTATCAGTATTTTGATGCTATATTGTTCGGCATATATATTAAGAATTATTTTTTAGAATGTATTTTCTTGATTATGCTATTACAGTTTCCCAATTTTTCCCCCTTTACCCCTTCCTCCCTACACCTTTCAACCCTCCAACATTCCCCCTCCTTAGTTCATGTCCATGGGGGTTATACAGATAAATTCTTTGAATTCTCTTTTTCCTATACCATTTTTTACCTCTCCCCATCTATTTTATGCCTACCAATTATGCTTCTTCTTCCCTGTGCCTTTTCCCCCCATTCCTCCTCTCCCTATCACCACTGAAAAGCCTCCATGTGATGTCCATTTCTCTGATTCTCATCTTCTTCTAGTAGTTTGCTTAGCTTTTGCTTTTGTTGTTTTTATTTTTTTAAGGCTCCTTTGTTGATACTTCTGAGTTTTTTGTTATTTTGCTCTTCACAGTTTTTGATCTTCTTCAATTTCTTAGACAAGTCCCTTTAACATTTCATATGATAAGGGCTTGGTGATGATGAACTCCTTGAACTTGACCTTATCTGGGAAGCACTTTACCTGCCCTTCCATTCTAAATGATAGCTTTGTTGGATAGAGTAACCTTGGATGTAGGTCCTTGCCTTTCATGACTTCAAATACTTCTTTCCAGCCCCTTCTTGACTGCAAGATTTCTTTTGAGAAATCAGCTGATAGTCTTATGGGAAGTTCTTTGTAGAAAACTGCCTCCTTTTCTCTTGCTGCTTTTAGGATTCTTGCTGCTTGTCTTTAATCTTGGGTAACTTAATAATGATGTGCCTTGGTGCATTTCTCTTTGGATCCAACTTCTTCTGGGCTTCCTGGACTTCATGGAAGTCTATTTCCTTCACCAGATTGGGGAAGGGTTTTTTTTTTTATTTGTTCAAATAAGGTTTCAATTTCTTGCTCTTGTTTTCCTCTTTCTGGCACCCCTATAATTTGGATATTAGAACATTTAAAGTTGTCTCAGAGGTTCCTCAGTTTCTCTTCATTTTTTTGAATTCTTGTTTCTTCATTCTGTTCTGGTTGAATGTTTATTTCTTCCTTATGTTCCAAATTGTTGCTTTGCGTCCTGGTTTCCTTCCTGTCACTGTTGGTTCCCCAAATATTTTGCTTTATTTTAGTTTGGGTATCTTTCATTTGCTCTTTCATTTTGCAACCAAGCTAATCAGTTCTGGGAGCATTTTGATTATTAGGGATTTAAATTCTCCATCAGATAGTTTGGCTATCTACTCATCACTTAGCTCTCTTTCCAGAGTTTTACTCTGTTCTTTGATTTTGGCCCTATTTCTTTGTCTCGGGGCACCTGTTAAGTTGTAATGGGGTGGGGCCTTAAGTATTCACCAGGGCTGGGCAACCCTCCTTGCTGTGCTGCAGCACTCCTGAGTGGGAAGGGCCAGAGAGGGAGCAATGCAGCTAGCCTGTTCGGCTCTAGCCTACTTTCCAACAAACCCTCATGTGAGACTGGAGGTTTCTCCAACTGTGGCAACCCCCACCATAGTCTACAATCAGCTCTGAGTCTCAGTTTCCCATTCAGTCGGCCCCACCCCTGCAGTATGCCTCCTTGCTGGGGGTTCTCTCAGCCAGCCCTGCCTATACAGTCCACCACCTTGCCACAAGTTCTCTCCATCTGCCCGTCTTACTGGTCTGATTGGTCTGGTTGGTCTGGTTGACTATTTCTTTAATCCCTTGGTTGTCTGAGTGCCATGTAGTTGGATTTTTCTGGCACTTCTGGTTGTTTATTGATTTTAGATTGGTTGTTATCTTCCTTTTGGTTGTACAAGGAAGCAAAGGGTTTCTACCTATGCCTCCATCTTGGCCAGAACCTACATTAAGTATTATTGTCTTCTTGGAAAACTGATGCCTTTTATTATTATCTAATTCCCTTCTTTATCCCTGATAAACCTTCCTTTGAAGGCTGCTCTGTTCAAAATTAATATAGCTACCCCTACTTTCTTTTGATAGTGTCAGCATGGTATATCTTTCTCCATCCATTTACAATTAATCTCTGTGTGTCTGTATATTTAAAGTGGGCTTCCTGTAGCCAACATATAAGTGGGTCTTGTTGTTTTGGTCCACTCTGCCAATGTCTGTCTTTTAACTGGTTTGTTTAGATCACTGATCTTCAAAGTATTTATTGATAAACTTAGATTACTATTGACCATATCTGTTAGTTTCCTATTTGTTATCCTTGTTATTTGCTTCTATTTTTCTCTGTTACTTATTGAGTCTTTTGTGCTTTACACTGAATATTTTATGATTCCATTCTCTCTCATTTCTTAGCATATCAGTTATATTTTTTCCTCTCAACAGTTCAAATATTTCATTACATTCTCTTCTTGCTTGTATGACTTCAGAAAATTTGGAAGTAATATTTATATTTGTTCTTCTATACGTACGATTTTTTTTTACTTTGGCTTCTTTTAAGATTTTGTTTTTATCTTTGATTTTGTGTAGTTTCAAACAGAAATTTGCCGTTTTTGTACTGGCTTTTGTTTTTAGTCATTTATTCGGTTTGCTTTTCTCTAACCTTTTTGAATCTGTCATTTGGTGCCTGATATTAAGTTGAAAAAAATCTCAGTCATTATTGTTTCAAATATTTCTTCTGTTCATTTCTTTTTCTCTCCTTCCAGTATTCCTATTGCATGAGTTACACCTTTTTCAGTTGTCCTATAGTTCTTAAAAATGCTATTCATATATTTTCAGTCTTTGTTCTCTTGGCTTTTTAGTTTTAGAGATTTATATTGCTATGTCCTCAAGTTCAGAGATTCTTTCCTCAGTGATAGCCAGTCTCCCAATAAGCCCATGAAAGGCATTCTTCACATTTGTTATAGTGTTTTGATGTCTAACATTTTGTTTGGGTTCTTTCCCAGGATTTTCATCTCTCTGCTTACAGTGCCTGTCTGTTGGTGCATGCTATCTACTTTATCTGTTAGAGCCCTGAACATATAAAAATATATATACTATATTTTGGGGGCTATAAGATACACCCTCCCCACCCAAATTTGGGAGGAATAATGGTTGTTAATGCTACTATGTTTATATTTACATTGGTGAAATATTATGTTATTTATGTTGTTAAATATTTTACCACATTTTTTGCTTCAAATTTTATTTCCTATTTTCCTCCTCTAAAGCCTAGGTGCATCTTATGGTCCAAAAGCATGGTAGTTTTTTTTTTAATTCCCAGTGTAATCATTACAACATGCTGCCATATCTGGCTTTGATGCTTGCTTTCTCTTCCAGCTACGTCTTTTGCCTTTTGGTAGACCTTACCACTCTTTCTTGATTGACAGGCATGATGTTTTAGGTAAAAGGAACTGATGTAAAAAAGGACTTTATTAAGTGGTGATAAGTTATCGGAGGAGGAGAAGCATTTTATAGTCTTATGATTAGGTCTGTCTTTTACTAAGCCTGTGCCTCTGAATTTCGAAGATTACATGTGCTTCTCATTCCCCAAGCCCCCTTACATGGGAAGGGTGGCTAGAGTCAGCCAAAGTTGCATATTTCCCTTCTTCCCTAACTATTAACCAGTTAGGCTCTAGTTAACAATTTCTCCTGAGGGCAGACCTTGTTAAGAACAGAATACTCTAGCATATGTCAAAATGTTTCCTATTCCACTTGCCCTGCCAGGACCATGGGACTTTTCTCCAATATTCACTATGACCACCTGGTAAAGATCCAGGAGGTAAAACTCCCAAAAGTGCAGGGGTCCTTCAGTGATTGGGTTCTCTTTAAGTTTTTAACTTCCAGAGTTGTCAATGCTGAGTCTCCAGAATTTGTCAGCTACCATACCATTTTTTCTGTACCCAACACTGTTTTCCAAGGAGGTTGTTGTTCTGATAAGTTGTGATTCACTATATTGACTTGTTGGTCTCTCTAATTCTGGTGGTATCCATTCCCCCTGTGACTTCACTTCTGTTATAAACCTAAGAAGGGTTGTTCATTTTTCCATTTTTTCAGGCTGTTACTTGTTTGTATGAAGTGGCAATTCCAAACTCCTTACATCCTACCCCAATACTGAAAATCTTAACTTTTGAAGGTGCTAAAGAACCTATTCATTCTACAAACTGGCAAATTAATACCAAAAAGCAAGCATTTATTCTGTCTTCCCTATATAAACAATGCCTCAGGGTAACCAAATGGAAGATCTAGGAAAATTCTTTATTGAAAAATTCCAGCTAACAATTGCATTAGGAATAGCAGAGGAGAAACCTTGACATTTTACAACCCCTGCTGAAATAATAAAGTAAGTAGTAAACATCAATTGTTTCCAGAAAAATCAGATGAAAAGCTGAAGGGAAACTTTATTAATAATAGCCTGATCAAGCTTACAAAACTAGAATGTATTAGTCAAGTTCAACATCACAAAAAATACGGAGACAGACATTATATACCTCCCAGCATAAAACAAGAAAACTCTATATAACAACACCTATAATGTTTACTTGTTCAAAATAAAAAATAAGAATCTTATCAAGCCTTTAGACCTAACTTACAGTTTACAGGAAAACTGGAGAATGAAGGAATATGTGAAATCACAACACAAAATGCTGACAACAAAATTCAAAAAAGAAAATTCAATTCTATAGAGCAAATTACCCAGTTTCTTCCACACACACAAAAAATGGCATTTTAAAAAGGGGGGAGGGCAACCCACATTAAAGAGAATTATTCAAATGTAATATGTGGACCATGTTTCCTGATTCAAATAAACCATCTGTAAAAAGTATTTGAACACAGTCAGCATATTCAATAACATTAGGAACTGTTGCTATTTTTAGGTATAGAGATTAATAATATAATTGTTTTATTAAGAGTACATATTTTAGCAATATAAACTAAAATATTTATGAATAAAATTGTATCTGGAATTCTCTTTAGAATGATCCTGTATAACACAAATAGATGAAAAAATATTTACTATGTGGGTGAGAGGACAAATAGGAGTTCATTTTATTATTCGCTCCTCTTTTGTACATTTGCAAATTTTCATAATTAAAACAATTACAAAAGTTATTCAGGAGAAGTACACTGAAAGTAGAGAAAATTTTTAAATATTGTAATTTATTTTGTTTATATTTTCATTTTTATTTTATGCCTAGTGTTATATGATACTAATTTTTAAAAGCCTAAAAGAGCTATTTCAATAAGTAAAAATAAAAATAAAAATTCTAAATGATATAGAAGCATTGTATCATAGTTTAATTGACAGCATTTTTTACTTTGTAGGAGTACATAAAGTAACAGTATATCTTGTAATCAATGTCTTATATATTACTTATTGAGAGAGAGAGTGAGAGAGAGACACACTGATTAGTTGCCTCCAAAACACACCCAACTGCCCTTTTGGTGTACGGGACAATGTTCCAATCAATGGAGTCACCTTCCAGGACTGGAATAAATAATTTTTATAAGTCAAACAGAATAAGAAATATTTTTCAGTGAATTTAAAAATCAGTTAAATAAAAATTTGAGAATGAAAAGACAAACCTTAATCATCTCTGCCTCTATCTGCTGATGAACACTTATATAACTTTTCTTCACCTGCTGCTTGTCTTTGATCATCATGGTGAGCCTGTGTAAGGGCCCAGAATTTAGGTCCTCTGCATGTGTCTTCATTATCCTACTCAGTTGTTCCGTGTGCTGAATCATAAGTAGCCAAGACTTTTAAAAACATAAGGAAATAAAGTTAGCACTATATTAAGAGTCTGCATTTAGCAGTGCTTTAAGTGCTCAAGAAGTTTAAATATTGTTTAATACAAATAATTACATTAATATAAAAATAGGTTTCTGGCCAATGTGCATAGTTAACATCTTCAAGTATGAATACTTCAAAAGTAAGTAATCTGAGACTATCCAGAATAGTAGGAAAGGGACTAAGGCACTCTGAGAATCCACACTTGCAGTCTTCTGTTTGATTTTCAATACACCGATATATTGTTTCTGCTCACATGACTCTAATTCCTCAGTAAGGTCACCATTTCCTAATGCAACAGAATTTTCCCATCTTCATTCTAAACCCCTCTGGCATCTGATCCTATGGACTCATTTCTTCCCTATACTTTTCTGTTTTTGGCTTGCATGAGTTATCTTTCCATATTCCAAACTGTCTTCCTCCCTCCCTAAAGATACTTTCTCAATCTTTCTACCTGCTCTTCTTTTGCTGTTTATGTCTTAAATACAGGCATTCTCTGAATTTCTAGGTGTCGTCATTCTCTTTTCATAATAAATACCATTAGTTCTCAATGTTTTTTCCAGCACAGCCTAGTGCCTCAATAGCAGAGACACAAAATGGTGGGTTTCAACAAGTGAGAATATGGATACCGCTGGAAAAACAAGTCATTTGATATTAAACTTTCCATCTTATAAATACTGAAAAAAGTAACAAATGAATGCTCTTCACTATAGGTCTTCAAAATTCAGAAACAATTATTGGAGTCCAACCACGCTCAGTGAGGATCCATGTTAAAGATACAAAATAAACAAGGTATGGTTTCGAATACTTACAAAACTAGTATTTTTACTCTTATACTTTTTTCTACTCTAATGCTTTTGATCTGTAAATGAATACAACTATTCTCTTTCAGTTAATTTCCAATGTAATACTAAATCAAAACAATACCCTAAAGAAAGTAAATTCTCAATCACAGTCAAAACTCTCCAAGGTCTGAGTTGGTAATATTATTTTTAATACTTCTATATATGTTTCTCAAAAATAAACCTTATTTAGGGAGGGGGTCATTTTTGGTTTTTAAGTAATAAATACAGAACAAGACATGTGGCCTATGAACTCATATTTATCTTCAAATTAAAAAATCTAAGACATATTAACACACTCTTGATGCCACAAAGCAATTTAAAACTAATGGAGCTCTTCCATAAAAGCCTAAAGTTTAACAAAGGTGAAAACAATTTTTAAAATGATAAAAAAAAGTGGATTTAAAAGATAAACTAAATGACTCTAATAACTCTTGTAGCTTTACCTTTTTCATTTGATATTTTCATTCTAAAAAATACACTGTTGGCAAAACGTTCTATACCAAGGGGATAACATTAAGGCTACAAGAAAAAAAGTGAAAGGAATCAGTTTTTTCTCTATCTTCAAAATATAAATAATCTCTAAGTGTTTTATAGCAATATATTTTCATGATTCAATATAGGAGTTGCTGCAGCCCAGGGGAGAAGTTTTCTTGAAAGCCAATATTAAAGACCACAGAACTATATCAGAATGCCTTCCTCCTCCCAGAAGGGCACATATTATGCTTCCTAAAAGCCCTGTTCACTTAAGTCATTGCAGGAAGTCTAAGCTCCGAGGCATATATTATCACCCTGACTGTCAAACCCATATTGCCTTCAATATCTCCTATTCTTGCCCAGGACACTACCTATTGAATCCTGTACTTTCAAGGACTCCTCCCTGATAGGTAGACACACTTTGCCTCCTTGCACAACCAAAAGAAGGACAACAAAATTTAAAAACAAAAAAATAGCCATAACGGCCAGAAAATCAAAAACCGAACAACCAAAAAGTTAAAGAAGAAACATTCACACATAGTGGAAGGAGGGGCAGAGACAGGTCGCCAGGGTGGAGAGGACACATGGTAAGGCGTCAGTGGGAAGACCTGATAAGGCAAGGCAGCAGCTGGTAGACTATGTAGTCCCACATCTGCATGTAGATAACTGGGAAGAACAACTGGGGAGTGAAAAAGACTGTACAACCCAGGATTACAGTGTGGTAAAATAAAGCCTCAAAACCTGGTAGTAAAAACCTGCGGGGGTTGTGATGGTGGGAGAAGCTCCCAGCCTCACAAAAGAGTTCAATGGAGAGGCCTACAGGGTCCATGAATGTACACAGACCCAACCACCCAGGAATCAGCACCAGAAGGCCCCAATTTGCTTGTGGGTAGCAGAGGAAGTGACTGAAAGCTGAGCAAGCGGCATTGTTCCTTCTCCAACCACCCCCCTCCACATACAGTGCCGCAACACATCAACAAAGGTTACCCCACACTGGCGAATACCTAAGGCTCCACCCCTTACACATAACAGCTGTGCCGAGACAAAAATATGGCCCCAATGAAAGAACAGATCAAAGTTCCAAAAATAGAACTAAGCGATGAAGAGATACCCAACCTATCAGATGCAGAGTTCCAAACACTAGTAATCAGGATGCTCACAGAAATGGTTGAGTATGATCGCAAAATGGAGGAAAAAATGAAGGCTATGCAGTGAAATGAAGAAAAATGTACAGGGAACCAACAGTGAAGGGAAGGATACCAGGACTCAAATCAACAGTTTGGAAGAGAAGGTTGAATAAACATTCAACCAGAACAGAATGAAGAAACAAGAATTTAAAAAAATGAGGAAACACTTAGGAACCTCCAAGACAACTTTAAAACACTCCAACATCCAAATCACAGGGGTACTAGAAGGAGAAGAGGAACAGCAATAAATTGAAAGCTTATTTGAAAAATAATGAAGGAAAGCTTCTCCAGTCTGGCAAAGAAAGATTTTCAGGAAGTCCAGGAAGCTCAGAGAGTCCCAAACTAGTTGGACTCAAGAAAGTATACACCAAGCCACATCATAATTACATTACCCAAGATTAAAGACAAGCAGCAAGAATACTAAAAGCAGCAAGAGAAAAGGAGGCAGTTCCCTACAAAGAAATTCCCATAAGACTATCAGCTGATTTCTCAAAAGAAATCTTGCAGGCAAGAAGGGGCTGGAAAGAAGTATTTGAAGTCATGAAAGGCAAGGACCTACATCCAAGATTACTTTATCCAACAAAGCTATCATTTAGAATGGAAGGGCATATAAAGTGCTTCCCAGATAAGGTCAAGTTCAAGGAGTTCATCATCACCAAGCCCTTATCATATGAAATGTTAAAGGGACTTATCTAAGGAAAAAAAGATGATCTAAACTATGAACATTAAAAAGGCATTTAATTCACAACTATCAACAACTGAACCTAAAAACAAAAACAAACTAAGCAAACAACTAGAACAGGAAGAGAATCAGAGAAATGGACATCAGATGGAGGGTTTTCAGTGGGGAGTGGAAAGGGGGAGAATGGGAGAAAAGGTACAGGGAATAAGAAGCATAAATGCTAGGTAAAAAATATACAGGGGAGGTTAAGAATAGTATAAGAGATGGAGAAGCCAAAGAACTTACATGTATGACCCATGGACATGAACTAAGGGAGGGAAATGTGTGTGGTAGTGGGGTGCAGGGCAGAGGGGCATAAAAACTGGAGAGTTGGGACAACTGTAATAGCATAATCAATAAAATATATTTTTTAAAAAGAACTACTTTTGATCTATGATGAGAAAACTCCTTATACCTCTTATCAGAAATTTCCATTTATCTTCTAGCTTTGGCAGAAACCTGGCTCTCTCCTCCTCCAAACCTCCAAACACTAGTAATAAACATTCCTTCTCTTTCTAAAAAATAAAGTCTCTGATTCTTAGAAGCTCTGGCCACCCTTCCCCATGAACAATCCATCAGCAAGTCTTTCTGATTATCCTTCCCATGTCTACCACAAATCCCAGTTTTAAACTCATAGCCTGTAATACGCAATGAGAGCATTCTCTCTATGGAGAGAAAAGTCAACCTTCACCCTCAGTTTGATTGGCTGCCTAACCTCACCTTATTGTTTCCTGCTGTCAATCTTATAAAATATAGCACTAAGAGGAATAAAAAAGTAGTCCAGATAAATTCAGGCTTGCACCATCGTCTGTACTCAGAGAAAACACAGATTGTTTTAGAATAAGGATACTTTAAGGAACCTCTGGAACAACATGAAGCATAACAACATCTCCATCATACAGGTACCAGAAAGAGAAGAGACAGAGTAAGCAATCGAGAACCTATTTAAAGAAATAATGACTGAAAAATTCCATAACCTGATGAAGAAAAGAGACACAAAAGTCCAGGAAATGGAGAGAGTCTCAAACAAGAAAAACATGAAGAGGCCCACACCAAGATATATTATAATTAAAATAATGCAGCCACTGTAGAAAACATTTTGGAGGTTCTTCAAAAAATTAAAAATGACCCAGTGATTTCACTTCTGGGAATATATCTGAAGAAATCCAAAACACAAATTTGAAAGAATATAATGCACTTCTATGTTCAATGCAGTGTTATTTACAATAGCCAAGCTATGGAATCAACCCGAGTGACCATCAATAGATGAGTGGGTAAAAAGCTGTGGAACATATATACTATAAATATTATTTGGCCATAGAAAAGAATGAAATCCAACCATTTTCAAGAATGTGGATGAACCTAGTGGGTATTATGCTAAGTGAATAATTCAAAAAGACAAAGACAAATACTGTATTCCACTTATATGTGGAATAGGAAGAACAAAATAAACAAAACAAACAAAATGAAAACAGACTCACAGAAACAAAGAACAGACTGAGAGTTGACAGAGAGGAGAGGTATTGGGGGACTGAAAAATACAGATTCAGTTACAAAATATTCATGGGGATATAAAGTACAGCATAGGAAAGATAGTCAATAATATTGTAACAACTATGTATGGTGCCATGTGAGTACTGGAACTATCAGGGGATTACTCTGTAAAGTATATGATGGCCTAACCACTATGCTATATATGTGAAACTAATACAAAATAATACTGAATGTAAACTGTAATTGAA